AGACAGAAGACAATACAAACATGTAGCATTGAAAAAGATAAAAAATTATAAATATTTATTACAATACTATTTTTGACAACATGTCTCCTCTATAAAGTTATCATTTCAAATATCTTGATTTTATATTACATTATAATATTAGTCATGAATCAATCACAGTTCATATATTGACCTTAAAGATGTTTCTCTCATTATACATTTCACTTATACTGTTAACAATATTATTAATATATTACATTCTTCACAAGAAAAATATAAAATCAAATTTGTTTCATTGCTCATTGAATTAAAACGGGGACAATGTTAGAAATTTCATTAAACATTTTGATCCTAGGTTTATTCGGTGATGTACATATCATGATAAAATGGAATTCATCTTCCACCATTTTGTGTAACAGACAGAAGGAAGCGGAAAAAAAGGGACAGTATAGTTCATGTCCAGTACGCAATAAAAAATGCTGTTTTTGCAATCGCCTGTCCGTTGAATATATATGGATGTTGATTCAAAGAAAAATATTATGTACTTTTCGTCATATTTTGCAAAGCACGCTTCATGAATCTGTGAACTAGACCCTCTAACCGTGGCTTGGCCTATGAATACAGATTGTCGCGAAAATTAATTGATGGAATTCCCAGAAACTTGCAATGATGGATGGGACATAAAGTTGTGCACCTGCTCATTTAAATTTAATCTTATTTATTACGGGGAGGTTTATACATCCATGCACCAAAAAAAAAGATTGGACTTTGCCATTTTTAAATATATTTATTGGAAAGGGAAGGTGACACATATGTCCCTTGGACAACTCGCACATTTCCCCCACAAAAAAAGACAAACGGATCTCTAGTTTGATAAAATAGTCGTAACTAAATAATTGTAATTGTTTATTACTAGTACTGAAACAATTGCTAATCTATTCTCGAAAATCACATATCAGTAGTCAGTTATGATAATTGTGATGCCAAACATCGAGGAATATATCAGACCTTTTAGAATCATTTTGTTTTTAAATCGACCCAACTTACACACACACACAGTAATTGACGTCAGTTTATAGAAATTCATAACAGCGTGGACGTTCATAATATGAGGGGATTCAAAACACTCTTTTCAAAGAAAATATCGTGTTCCGTGACTGTAAATATGAATGAAGAAAAAGTAAGAAAAATGTATATAGTCGTATCATTCAGTGGATTGGTCAATCGCCAAAAAAAATTCTTTATTTGTAAATAAAGGCAACAGTAGTATACCGCTGTTCAATAGTCATAAATCGATTAAGCAATAATCAACAAACACTAATACATACATTGAAGGCAGCATAAGTATGCTAAATAATATAAAGAAATGTGTCCGACCTGTTAAACGCAGATATTTTGTTGATTTGAAAAACGAATTGACGGATCACAGTAATTAAATTTCGAATTGTACTTACTTTTTTCAATTTGTGTTTCAGTATCTATCCAGGAATTGAATATGTTCACAATACTTTTTATTTTAGAATAATTATACGAGAGCACCCAGTTTAAAGGTTATGAAAAGTTCCTTTCTAAAAAAAAAGAAACGCAATCGTGAACCCAAATGCCTGTTTGATACGAAAGATCAGAAGCAGGAAAAAAGGGACAGTATAGTTCATGTCCACTACGCAATTAAAAATGCTGTTTTTTGCAATCGCCTGTCCGTTGAATATATATATTGATGTTGATTCAAAGAAAAATATTATGTACTATTCGTCATATTTTGCAAAGCACGCTTCATGCATCTGTGAACTAGACCCTCTAACCGTGGCTTGGCCTATGAATACAGATTGCCGCGAAAATTAATTGATGGAATTCCCAGAAACTTGCAATGATTGATGGGACATGAAGTTGTGCACCTGCTCATTTAAATTTAATCTTATATTTTACGGGGATGGTTATACATCCATGCACCAAAAGAAAAGATTGGACTTTGCCATTTTTAAATATATTTATTGGAAAGGGAAGTTGACACATATGTCCCTTGGAAAACTTGCACATTTCCCCCACAAAAAAAGACAAACGGATCTCTAGTTTGATAAAATAGTCGTAACTAAATAATTGTAATCTTCCTGGTATTGCTAGTACTTAAAAAATTGCTAATCTATTCTCGAAAATCACATATCAGTAGTAAGTTATGATAATTGTGATGCCAAACATCGAGAAATATATCAGACCTCATTAATTTTATTTTATTGCAATGACCAAAAGTTTTAAATAAATAGAAGTCATCGCCTCACGCCAAAGAATATCATTAATGGATGTGGTTGTTATATTTGATAGATGCTTTTTGTGCTTCTTTGTTAAATGTTTTTTTTTTTTTTTGAGATTGTGACACAGTGATGAATGCCGTACCCATAGTTTGACAATGTTACCTATTATGTCTGTTTTGTTCACGCATCGTAAATATAATGGAATTTGATGCGACTGTCATACAAGTGAGAGGTTTAGCGCTTTAAAACCAGGTTCAATCCAACATTTTCTACATTTGAAAATGCCTGTACCAAGTCAAGAATATGACAGTTGTTGTCCATTCGTTTGATGTCTTTTATCATTTGATTTTGCCATTTGATTAGGGACTTTCCGTTTTGAATTTTCCTCCGAGTTCAATATTTTTGTGATTTTACTTTTTTTCAGTGTACGTGAATCGTTTTATATCGTTTTTTTAAATATTGTATGGTATGATTGTCAATGAGACGATCCACTAGAATTCAAATGAAGAGGATATAAGCAATTATAGGCAACCGTATGGCTTTCATGGCCGTATTTTATTCTTTTTTTGTTTCTACTTTGATGACGGTAAAGCATTTATATTTTCCTAACATATTCTTCTTGAAACAAAAAATAAAAAGTAACCCCACTTATGTAATTTCAGTTTACCTGAGAAGTGTAATTGTAGATATCATTTTTCTATTATATGCATTTGCCCTGGACATAGAATTTTCATAGCTACAGAAATGGACTGCGCTCTACTTTAATTTTACTAAGATGGATAGATTTTAAAATTCTAAACACGCCCTTTCCATTGACGATAACTTTTTTTCCTTAAAATCTCATCTCCAATGTGAACACAGCTTGGGTTTTAGAAACTTTTACTCATGCATCTCTAATTGATTAACTACTGATGTAAGATATCATTCAATGTCGATTAACACTTATCTCTATAGTAACTGCCAAACGCTAATGAATATTCAATAGATCAATTAAGTACCTATTACGCAGTTGGCCATAGAAAAGAACAGATGTATTCCGAAAAGACTTCCGGTGTTCCAAAAGACTACAGAGGTCGTCCAATATATACTGCGTGAACCCTCAGGGGTTCACGAAATTACACTTACTGTTATGTTGACATAAAAACCTGTACATTATCACGTGTTACAGTTGACTTGTTTAGTCTTTTGCACTTGATTTATTATTCCAAAACAGATGTTTTGTGAACATATCATTAAATTCATGGATAGATATTGAAATACAAAACAAAAAGAGGTGAGTACAACTTTAAATTTTAAGGGGTGGATCATTCCTGACTCAGTTAAAATAAGCGAGGTGTTTGATGTGCAAAAATTTGAAATCAGCATGAAAAAAAAATAAACATTTTTGCAGAATTATCTCAAATATGCGTCCACATTTAACAAAAAGATAGTTGAGTAAGACCAAATTAATTGAAATTACCTTCTTCATTTTTACTTAAATAAAAAGAATGTAGATCCCGTAACTTTTATTATACGTTTTCAGGTAAAAACAAAATCTAAAATAAATATCATTGTTTCAACAAAAGCTACTCTGAGTAACTTATTGAAAATAAAGAAGATTTTTCACAATAGAAATGCTAATGGACGGTCCTCTAAAATGTTTAGGTCAACCCAGCAACACGTATCTGTAATAAACACGATATTTGTATGGTCATAGATGTATAAACCCATACATCTATGTTATGGTGTGTTTGATATCTTACCAGATTCAAATGCTTATTTATATTTCCGAGGTTGGAATTAAAATTTGTTCCGTGCAAAAAATTATGTAGCCCAGAGGATTAAAATGATTTTTTTATGAAGGTCCGGGGTTCTTATTACCAAAAATAATAATCTTAGTATGAAAATTGATCGTATGTTACTCTACATCAACTCGTACGAATAAGTGTTTTCATATTTTTTTTAATGAGCCACAGAAGGTTTGTGCAAGAAAAAAACATAACGTTTTTTTCTCTCGATTACTTGGTGATTTCACCTATGAATATACTCATTCTTTCAAAAGAAACTATTTGCTGTGAGTATGTAAATATATTCAAAACAAATTCCTATAAACTTTTATGCAAAAATTTTATTTTATTAATGGGCATGTGTAAAGATAGTAATTACGTACATCCCCATTGAGAGTCCCCTGACATACTTTAATTGCGTGAAGACTTTGTTGTCGACAGCCAATGACCGACACGATAACATTTAGATACCCGGTGTCCATGTCTACACTGTTATGAAAATCATTCTTATATTCCCTTTACGATTGTTTTCTTTTTCTTTCATAACGGGGTTCCCTTTGTACTTGCGCTGTGCGATTTTCGGATTTCTAACGAAGGTGTCTTAGTTAAGGTCGCTGTTGGCGAATTACAGTACGGGAAGACCATAATTCAATAACAGTACATTTCTGAAGATTTTGATAACATGAAGAATTTTCTTTTTAAAAAAAGTCTTTGTACAGGTGTTATAAAGTAAAACTTAACCATTCAAATATTAAAAACATATTGATATATTTTGTTAGATTTGAAATATCACGTGACTTTAAGAGTTTTCAAGTTATCGTTACATTCTTACTAAATAGAATTCTGTCTATACATATAGCTAGTCTCCTTGAGAACTGGCTGTGTATACCATAAACATGTAGACATGTCAATCTTTTGGAGTTTGAAAAGCCAGACCATATATAAGCAGAACGCATAAAAGCAATCATTTGTAATTTCTTTGAATATTATTATTATTCCATTGTAGATTATAGTGACAAATTTACAACGGCGTCAGTCGCTCTAAGCTTTTTAGGCAAATTTGGTATCAGTGCGTCATTTTCTACAATATTTCTATATACGCCTGAGTTGTACCCTACAAATTTAAGGTAACTAACATTATTTATACATCATTACAATGTGGAAATGTAGAGAACATATTGATTGATCATTTGTTGTTGTAGGCCAACACAGAAAACTGTTTGTTGTAGAAAGAGATACATTGTAGAACCTTAATACAATTGCCTTATTTGATACGAGGCAGGTGCTTTCTGTGAAAGAAGACATAATCTGTTAGCTAGCAATTTAAAACAGTCTTACTTTTGGTTTACAAAATTGAATTAATAAAATAATTGTAATTCGATTTACTGAGGAAGTCATTGTTTTTTGTTTTACATTGTGCAATGACGGTTCAATAATCATATACACTAACCAGAAAAATAAAGAGGAAATACCATAAATTATTGTGTTCATAATTGAGACTTGAAACAATAAAATAACCAGGTTCTCCGAATTTCTTGCATAATTTCTGTTGAAAAATAAGCTGCAGTACGGAATCGCCACTGATGTTGGCCATGTTATTATGCATTTTATTTATGACGTCATTATATATGTAAATAAAGAAAAACTGTCGATTCTGCTTGTTTCAATTAACGTTATACAATCGTATTTGAAATGAGCAGACTTATTTCTATTCAAACAAACATAATATACAACCTCTTTGACAGGAAACACCTGCCTCATATTACATGTTGGTTCGTACGGTCTCTAGATATTCTTTCTCTACGGAACTAGCGTCTCAAGAATAAAATTTGCAACGCTGCAGTCATTTGTAAATGAAAAAAGTTAATCGTAAGAGTGTTCGTAAGTATATCTTGGACACTTAATTAAGTTTACGATCAAAGTTGGTCGTAAGTTATGTCAGAAGTTTTTTTGTGAAATTAGATTTTGACTTAAGATTAAGTGTGATCTTACACTTACGGATTTTTGTGAAATTGCTCACAGATATGTAAAATTGCTGTAAATTGTATGCTACTTTATTATGTTATCAGATGAAAAATTGCGGGAAATCCTATTCCTCTTTATGATTTTTTTTTCGTCAAGTCCAGAGAGAAACAATACCGGAAAAGATTTCTGCGTAATGCTCAAGTCTGAAAAAAAAGTCAACAATTTTGGATGCTTTCTCATTTATGGTTTTTTTATTCTTACTGATTTTTCTACAAAGAAATAGATGGAGAATCTGTCCATGAGACACAGATGATGCCCCCGATTGCATATAACGTTATAAAGGGTCATATAACTAGCAGCTTTAGAGAACTGTAAATTTGACGCCACCCAAAACCGAACTTTACCTGTGTTTAATGGTAATAAGCATAATTTGTGTATTAGTTTCATAACATTTGGTAGAGACAAAATAAAGTTAGAGAACGGAAACGAAAAATTCAGCAATTTTTCCATTTATAGAGGAGCATAACTCCAGAACGGTAAAAGTGACGCCATCCAAATTCGAATTTGATCTGAGTTTTGTGGTAATAAGCATTGTGTGTAAGTTTCGTAACATTTGGTTGAGGGCAAAACTAAAGTAAGGGAACGAAAACTTATTTTGGGACGTACAGACGGACAAGAGTAACACTTACAATGTAGTGCTCCCTCTGCCGCGGTGGGGGCATATACATGTACAGACATAAAATATCATATAAATCATGCCAGTACCTATAAGCACTGCTTTTTTTAGGAATATTAAAAGCGATGATCTTTATATATCATAAGTGCATATTGGAATTTTCTTGGTGCACTCTGGACCATTGGAGACGAAAATATGTGCGACGTGTTTTCCAAACTGTTGTTCTAAAATGTGCGGGAACACAGTCGACAATGTACGTATATTTTTTTATCCTCAAATTTCAGATTTACTGGAATATTTTCGTTTTAAAATTCCGAATCGTTGTTTTTGCTTTTTAAATTAATTGATATGGGATTAAACGCGGACTACAAAGAGGACTCCGAAATGAACTGCCGCAATTGGAAATCTCTTTGATCTTATCAGATATTTGTTTATAAAGTTTATAAAAACTATTATAATTTGAAGAGCTATCTCCCTTTTGTAATATGCTTTTTTTTTGTGTTCATATTACTTTTCAAAAACAATATCATATCGCTTAGTACTGGAATGTGTGTTTTCTCTAACTATGTATCACCCCTGCTTGGATTTTATAAATAATTGTACTTTTAAAACAGTAGTTACCATTTCACCGGAGACGGTATTAAGAATTGAGCGATGCATAGTCTTTGGAGTGAATGCTGTCTGCTACATGATTGGAAGATATTACTGACCTAAGTAATAGACAAAATTTAAGCATTTTTCCTTAGAATTACACAGCATTTTTGTATATCCACCAAAAGAAGTTTTCAAAGACACATTAGTTTTAGATCCAAGACAGAAAAAGACTGGATTATCCACAAATTCGATATAATTTATATTTTCAATTTACAACTAATGGAAATATTTTAATCAAAAGGGCCAAAGTCACGTGGTGCAAATCATATGAATAAAGTACCTAGGATTTTGCCATATGGTCCGAACTCCACTTTAGAACATTCACGTATTACACATTACATTCTTTCTCTGTATCATCTTTTCATAAATTCAGAATAATTTTTAAGTTAATAGACACAACGTGCAAAGAGCATTTTAACTCATACAAAAGCAGCGACTTGTGTACAAATGTTCAATAATAATGTCTGTGCTATATCAGAGACATATTTAGTTCCCTATATGTCTCTGGCTATATAAATGTATCAATGAAGTAAATACTTATCATTTAATACCGCAAAGAAACGAATAGCTTTTACACTTGAATATATCCTTTTTCTCAGAATAAAGCAAGATATCATAATACGATAATTGTACACTACAGCAATGTCGCATACGTTTATTTTTACACCTGTTTTAATATACTATCGTAAAAACTTTCCGGTTTTTTAAACCGGACTTTTACATGAACATGTTATATCTCTACTTTTCTCATTCAGTTTGTGCATGGTTTTTATGCATGCATCGTGCGAGTGTGATTCACCGTGCATTTACAAGGATCGTGCGTTCATCTCACACGAAATCGCTAGAGGTATATAACACTTGCAGCGGTCCTTATTGTACTAGCTAATAAAGACAAGATTAACCCATTTTTAAAATAATAAATATGATTTGGTTAATAAAATATTAAAATAAGCGGACTGTGTAATGTTTTCTTCATATGTTTCAGGAACATCGGTATAGGCATTGCGTCTTCGGCGGGAAGAATAGGTGGTCTTTTAGCACCCTTTTCTACACTGTTGGTAAGAACAATTAAGTAATTATGATGTAGAATGATAAAACGTAAGATTCTACGAATATGTTTACCTTGTGATTGTAATGTGGATAAGCAGTACAGCCTTCAAAAAGCTGATAAAATGATATTAATAGTGGAGACTTGTATGTTTATTTATAAATATTACGGAATTAAGTAAGGGCATAAAGACATATACAAAAAAAACGGAAAGAACTGCAAACAAGATGTCACAGAATCGTATAATCAAATCAAAATAGGAAAAATAAAATCAATTGCTACGGTAAATATCTTATAGAATATTAAGCACATGAGAATTGTTGTGTTTAGCCTGTATACCCCATCCCAAGTATGAGTAAAGTGATGACAGTTTTAACATGTTTGTGAAGTCACAGTGATTCACAATGACAAGTCATTATTATGCTATTAAACTAATTTCGACAAATAGAGAAATCAAGTTTATTTAAAAGGAAATTATCTATCAATACACATTCAACGAATTTTGTGTAAAAATTTCATTAACAGGCAGAAAAGCATGATATTGTGTAATGATAAAACTTAAGAAACGACATACCATATACTATCATTACTGTATTAAGATCATAGGTAGATGAATAATTCATTGTAATCTGTTGCTATGCATGCATATTTTTTTTTTGCAACCATTTAAACAAACAAAAATCTTTTCACTTTTGTACACAGTTCTTTCTAGTATTTTGTGTTGCAGATGGAATCTTCATTTTCATCGTGTTTTATGCAAGGTGATTTTTTCAACTCCAACCATACAGGATATGCATTTACAAAATCCTCCTAACCCCCTCCCCCAGAATATGAAGTGGTCATCCTCCCCTAGGAGGGATATCAAAATCATAAGGAAAATAAGAGGAACTAAAATTGATTGTAAGATATATATACTGAATTGTATAAGAATGTGGTATTGTTTTTGACTAAGCTAAGATATATATGTAGTGAAAAATTGAAAAGTTTATAATGTGATCAAACATAAATCAAAGAACATAACTTACCTGCAGCAATGACTGACTTGCCACATGAAGTGCAAAACTTAGCTATTGGGGGAAGATTTTCACCACAATGCTTGCAATACATTATAACTGCAATAAATATTAAAAGAGATAGTTCAGATATCAATTTTGGACACTCATTTTTGTATTTAATCGATATATGTTTGTACATTGCAATGAGAACAAGTTTGTTGAAATTCAGTCACCATTTGGCCCAAAATTATCATGATTATGTATGTATGTATACCTGATAATTTTTGACTGGACAGCGTTTTTTTTTAATATCTTTTGCAACATTTCAATATACGTACAAAATATTAACATTGAAATTTAGTGACATTATGACTACATTAAACATGATAAGATTGAAAATTTACATTTTTTACATCACATGTTCAAATTTGTAAATATTGTGTAATTGCTGATCATTTTCTGACTTCCAAAGTTATATAGACAATAGACAATAGACAATAAACAATATTTTTTTGCATGTACACATTTACATTAAATGGTTGTGACATACAGTATAGAGCAATTTTGGACACTCATTATTGTATTTAATCGATATATGTTTGTACATTGCGGTCGTTCATACAAATCCGAATTGAGAAACTAGATGGGTCTATCAATACCCACGCTACGTCAATTTTTAAAGACCCAAATGTTGCAAAACACTTGTCCTACCTCCATGACAAATATGTTGTTGTCCCCGCAGATAAAGCCCCCAAACAACATCGTTTTTGTGTGTAAATATCAGTACATAAACTGCTTGATAAATGAATTAGGTATTGACAATTCATTTGGAAACTCAACATATACCCTCACGACACTTACCAAAGAGGAAATCCTGGACCATCATAGGTCTGTTCTATGTTCCTTTGGAATTTCAACCAAAGATGAAGAACTGGATCTTCCATCACTGTATTGGATACCTAAACTACATAAGTGTCCTTACAAACAACGGTATATTGCTGGGTCTTCCAAGTGCTCCACGAAACCTCTTTCTAAATTATTAACATCTATTTTATCAGCAATCAAAGCCGGGCTCCAAAGTTATTGTGAAACTGCCTATTCTAGAGGTGGCGTGAATCAGATGTGGATACTATAAAATCCAAAGATCTTTTAGCGTACATACAATTTAAGACTCTCTCATCTTGCAATAGTATTAAAACATTTGACTTTTCTACACTTTACACAAGTATTCCCCATTCCAAACTAGAAGACAAATTGAAAGAGTTGGTATTACTTTGTTTCATTAAAAAGAATGGCGAACGTAGATACAAGTATCTTGTCTTGGGGAGAGATAAATCCTACTTTGTAAAGATTCACTCTGATTGAAACAAAAAATTCTCTGAAACTGACATTATCAAGATGCTTGATTTTCTTGATTGACAACATTTTTGTTACGTTTGGATGACGTGTTTTTCAACAGACTGTCGGAATTCCAATGGGAACCAATTGTGCCCCTCTTCATGCCGACTTGTTTCTTTATTATTATGAAGCTGACTTCATACAGAAACATCTTAGGAAGAAAGATAAGAAGTTAGCAATATCCTTTAACTTTACGTTCCGCTATGTAGATGATGTTCTCTCACTAAATAATAAAAAATTTGGTGACTATGTTAAACGAATCTATCCCATCGAACTAGAGATAAAGGATACTACAGATACAGTTACGTCTGCCTCATATCTTGACTTACAACTAGAAATTGACAATGAGGGTCGGTTGAAAACAAAACTTTACGACAAAAGAGATGATTTCAGCTTCCCAATTGTGAACTTTCCATTTCTATGTAGCAACATTCCAGCAGATCCTGCATACGGAGTATATATCTCCCAATTGATACGATATTCCCGGGCTTGTATTTTCTATCATGATTTCCTTGATAGAGGATTGCTGCTCACAAGGAAGCAATTAAACCAAGAGTTCCAAATGGTGAAGTTGAAATCATCCCTTCGTAAATTTTACGGACACCATCACGAGTTGGTTGACCGTTATGGAATAACTGTTTCACAGATGATATCGGATATGTTCCTTATGTCGTAACTACAATACCCTTCCCTTTTCACGAATGTGACCTACCGAATTAGGCTATTTACCGGATTTGTAATAACATAAGCAACACGACGGGTGCCACATGTGGAGCAGGATCTGCTTACCCTTCCGGAGAACCTGAGATCACCCCCAGTTTTTGGTGGGGTTCGTGTTGCTTAGTCTTTAGTTTTCTATGTTGTGTCATCTGTACTATTATTTGTCTGTTTGTTTTTTTATTTTTGGCCATGGCGTTGTCAGTTTGTTTTCGATCTATGAGTTTGACTGTCCCTCTGGTATCTTTCGTCCCTCTTTTGAAACAATAAACTGACAATAATTAAATGAGATTAGAGTGACAGTGGTATTCACACGAAAAGAAGACTACAAATACGTGTGTATTGACAGTTAACCCATTATTAATGTCCATGAACAAAATAGGATACATATCAAAAAATAAAAATTATACAGGTGTTCTCAATAAAAGACAATCATTAATATATTTTGTGGTGATTTTTATAATGACTGGCAAACTGCTATTTAAAAGTGTGGTCATATGCCTCAGTGTTATAGCTGACTGCAATTTAATAAAATTGAAATTAAGATTAGTATTAATTTTTTCCCTGGTATAACGACCCTTTCAATTATACTTAGTTATACTTAAATATATATATTTATATAGCTTTCAACATGATTAAGAACAAGCATTATGAGAGTATTCCATAGCAACACATACATGTAGTCCCCAGTTTAAAATTCATTGTACTGAAACAAAATACTAATTTGATCTATAACTTGTCATGGTGTAACAATATAAATAAAAGAACAGAGTTCCAATGTCCCCCACGTAGCACATATCTTATATTTCCAAGGGGCATAATTCTTTTAAAATAAGTCGATCATCCACCATTATAGAACTTGTCCGAGATATTGCTGATATTAATCTATAGTTTGAGTTTTATAGACATTTGGCAAGAATTGTACCTGTGAGAGCGCTAACAAGCCATTGTCCATAAATTTAATATTTCCAAGGGCATAACTCTTTTGAAAATGTCGATCGTCCACCATTATAGAACTTGTCCCAGATATTGCTGATATTAACCTTTAGTATAAGTTTCATAAAAACCTGGCAACAATTGTAACAGTGAGAGCGCTAACCAGGCCATTTTCCATCAATCTAATATTTCCAAGGGGCATATCTCTTTTCAAAAAAGTTGATCGGCCACCATTATAGACCTTGTCCGAGATATTGCTGATATCAACCTATAGTTTAAGTTTCATAAAAGAAATTGTACCTGTGAGACCTGTACGTGAGAGCGCTAACAAGACTGGACGGACGGACTGACGCCCGGTATTTCCATGTCCCCCGCAACGCGTTACACGGGGGACAAAAATATCAAGTCAATATCTTCAAGCATGACAAAAAAAAGTGTTTAAAACTGATTATTTATACATTCAAGACTAACAAGCCAGCCAGCTAACCCAAAACATTCAGTGATACATGAACATACAGTTCATTTCAGAGTGTGTTGCTTACTTCCATGTACTAAGTACTTATAAGTTTCAAGTAGGCGAGTTGGCTGGAGTAAATTTAACGTGATTTAACCCTTTTCATTAGCTGGTAAATTTTTTTTCGAAAATTAGATGAGTTGACAAACAAGAGTGTGGCGATTTTTTAGAAAGTGAAAGTTGGTAAACAAGACTGGATCGTTTTTTTTTAAGTGGGGCGAGTTGGTGAAAAAGTGGGGCGATTAGAGAGTTGGGCAAGTTGTCTTGCTTCTGTTACTGATCATGCTGATTACAAAACTTTAAAAAATACATTCAAGAATTATTCAACCTTAAGTTGACCACGCTAGGAGGGACAGAATGTGTCACGTGTAGGGATATGGCAATTGAAAATCGACTTGCAACAAAATAAATCTCAACTTTTCAAACACATCTGCTTTTTTGTTTTCAAAGTGGGTTTCCTACAAATCCCAACCCCTGGCTATGGGCCTGCATAATTATAATGTATGACGTTCGAAAATACTGTTTATAGATCAAGTTTTCTAAAGCAAAATTACACAAACCAAATGATATATTACTTCACAGCATACTATACGACATTCATTCTAAAAACACTGCCGTCAAAGTATTTCAAATAATTATAATGTCTCGAAAAGAAGGCGTCACAGAAAAATAGTAAAGTAGCCTTTCAAGACATCATAAAAGGCCACTTCACAGTTAGTTCTGCCATATTGAATAGAGGGAAGATTTTTGGATAGATGTGGAAATAGTAATAGTATGAAAGTAAAGGAAATCCTATTCATGTTTCCATGCAACTGTTCTGTTTAAATGATGTTTTCCCGTATTTTTCAAACTATTTTTGTCTCCATTACGAAAATCTGCCCCTATTCAATATGGCCGAACTAACCATGCTAACCGTGAAGGGGCCTTTTATTTTGACTACCGTCAAAGGGTCATACATGACAACAAACAAAATTACAAATTCCACCTTTAAATGACTTAATGTTTGCAACGCAAGAAAATAATGATATATTAAACACTGGAATCATGAAGACACTACCATTTGATATTCAGGGGTGGGCGGTGATTGGGCAACTATTATGAAAGTCTACTGGCCTCCCCTAAATATGAATACTCAAAATAGTTTGTCCACTTTGGTATTTGTGGTATTGTCGTTTTACTTATTAATTGTTTGAGCAATGTTAACCCACACAATTATTGTCTGCCAGTCGCCATACATATACCTGTTACAATCTTACAAAAAAAATCCTGCCTGTTCTACATACTTCTGCTGCTGTGCAGTTAAAATGAGTCTCGTTATTTAATAAATGTGAAAACCGGATGTGCAAGGTCAGAGAGTCTCGAATGTATTGTTCGTTTCGCCTCTGCAAAGGAGGCAATTTAAGTAATGAAAAGCAGATTTTCTGTTTAGAAGCTTCCCTTCGCAGATTTTTGGTGGTAAGAAAAGATATGATTTTCACAAATCTGCGGCCCGCCGCAAGCTTTTGCTTTAGAGAATTCCCGCCGCAAGCTTTTGCTTTAGAGGATTCCTGCCGCAAGCTTTTTGTTTAGAGGATTCCTGGCCGAAGATTTTTTGTTGGTAGATTTAATAAAATCTTCAAAATTGGCGGCCCGCCTCAAGCTTTTGCTTTAGAGGATTCCTGCCCGAAGATTTTTGATTGGCTAGAATGCTAGAAATGATGGCCTTGTGTAAAAAAAAAATCTGCGGCCGCCACAAAACGATTCGATTAATAATAATCTTCGGGCAGGAATAATAATTATCTGCGGGCGGGATAATAATAATTTGCGGGCGGGAATAATAATAATCTGCGGGCGGGAATAATGATTATTTGCGGGCGGGATTTTTAAGGTGATTATTTTTTTTAAACGCATTTCTCATGGGAAAAATAAAAATAATAGGGGGGTTCACTGCGGCTTTCCATATTTAGTTATGTTTGAATTTATTGAAAACAATATCAATGTATATACTGATAAAAGCAATATTCACAGAAATTACTACAGCGCCTTAAGTATCAGTTTAGTCTTAGGATTAATGGGTTTACATAGACCTATCTGAATTGAAGAGCTCTACTAACAACATCACCGAAAAATATAGGATGTGATATTCCTTTTGTAATCATGATTCTACAGCTACATCCACACTTTAAACCCAAATCTTTGTATTTTAAAAGGTTTTAAGTAATTTGTGGTAACACAATCCTTGAATTAATAATTTACCAGTTATACATAGATTACATTTATTAAAAACCTGAAACGCCACTAAGACACAGTCACAGACATAGCAAACGATTTGATAGAAAGGAATATTGTCGTACAATTATCAAAAATTGAAAATAGTCCACGAAAAATCGTCTCTTCTGTCGTAAATATTTACATATTGTTCCTGTGTAAAACTCTAGAAAATGACACTTGTTGCTGTTTATATTAGACTTATTTCAAGTCAGTTCCCTAAGGTACAGCTTCGCATTAATCGACGCCCATAGGAAAAGCTACAAACTGGTGAACCGTAAACAGATGTTGACAAGGTGAAAATTAACTTTTATATATTATATGGTAATGAGATATACTAGTATTCAACCAAAGGTGTCAATCAGTTGATAGTTTAAATTTTTTTAAAAGATCTTAGTAATATCAAAACCTTTGATTTTTCTATGCTTTACACTTCTATTCCCCATGCTAAATTGAAAGATCGACTACATCTTCTTATCAAACAGAGCTTTTTCTACAAAAATGAGTAACGTGGATACAAATTCCATGCTTTTGGTCATGCAAGTCTTTCTTTTTTAAAGAACCACACTGTTTCTCACAAAAATATCCACCGAAGATGATATCCCCACAATGCTGGGCTTTTTATTGACAAAATATTTGTAAACTTTGGTGAAATGATATTTTAGCAAGCAGCCGGACTACAAATAGGTACAAATTGTGCACCGCTAGTGGTCGATTTGTGTGTGTACTTACAAGAAGCAATATTCACACAGAACCTTCACAAAGACACGACGATAAACATCTTGAAAAGTTTAATTTCACTATCAGATATATAGATGATGTCCTGTCACTCAATAACTCACATTTCAATGAGTGCTTACATCTTATATATCCAGATAACGTAATATTACAGATACTATACAAAGGCAAAAAGAAACTTTTATTACAGATGGACTGTGTTCAGTGTAAAGTCCTGAGTCCAAATCTTGCTTATCAAAATTATAAACAAGTATTTATACACAATTGAAATGACAAGAATAAACATAACAAATAACAATTGATTTGAGTAATATTGTTCACTGTCAAGGATTAAACTATTTTTAGAACTTGAAGAATAAAGTTAATTTACTAATCTGATTATGACAATTAAGAACATACATTATGAATAAGGTAAATGGTCACTAATTAGTTAACGGATTAAAACAAGTCACTCAATGTCCAAACTGAGAATTTCAAATTAACAACACAACATGTCAATTAAAAGATATAGATAAGAAATGTAAATAGAAACCAAAATATAAAATGAATAATTAAACACAATGAATTTAAGTCCAAAAATGTCAGAATTGTAAATTTTTAGTATAAGTCCAAAACAATATGAGAAGCGACTTTTAGCTTGGTCACACAGTCTTAGATCTTTTGATATCAGTCGTCTGATATATAACTGTACCGATTCTGTCCAATTCCCGATAATGATGTTCAGATGACACCTTGAGCTGAGATAAGGTAATGGTATCTTTGTTTTCAAGACGACTTTACGTAAAGCGCACGGTCTAGGACAAAGAAACAAATATAATTTCTTTCTTCAGAACTTCTGTGTAGTATCGGCGTTATACCACCATTTAGTTGGCTGCTTTGTCGGCCGGTACGAACAAAAAACGTCATTTAAATACTTGAGTGTATATCTAATCCTAGAAAATAGGCACATGTTTAACCTTGTATTACCTCCCCTGTCCCGAACGGCCAAGTTCGCTATTCTCATCTCATGGCGTTCTTTGTGGTTTCTAGTTTTACAAATGTGCGCAATGACCCCGCCTGTCCACCAGCATGGCTAAAAGTTGAACAGAGGGGTCAAATACAAGTTTTGTCAATTATTGTAACCGCCTTTGATAGAAAAAATCTGACCTGGGCAGAGTTGTTCTGAAAACTTAGAAAATGCGACTGTTCCATTGCAATGACAAATATGTTGTCAATTTTTTATTATGTCAGTTTCAGAAATTTTTTGTTTGAATCGGAGTGATTGATATAAACAATTTAATCATCGAAATGTATATTATAGCATTTTGAAAATAATCAACTTTTTTTCCAGACTGAATACCTAGAATGGGGTCCTGGTGTAGTATTTGGTGTGTGTTGTATATCTGTAACAGTTCTTCAGCATTTTCTTCCTGAAAGCAGCGGTAAAGAGATGCCACAAACTGTACAAGAACTTAAGGCATGGAAACGAGACAAAACTACCATTATTCGTTGATCAAGCTCGTTTACTGTGTTAAGTCCGATTCTTATTTTAATTACAAATATGTATCAAGTATTTACAAATATGTAATTACAAATATTTAATTACAAATATGTACTGCACTTTTTTCGACTTTAAATTTTCTATTTTTCATTTTCCCATAATAATGGTACCTCATGCTGCTCATATATTTACATCATAATGTCTGCTAGTTGTAGTTCTCAGCCTTGTCTCAAAAAAAAACCTGTAATTGATTCCTTGCAAGCAAGCTAAGAGTTTAACAGCTATGTCATAGTTTGCAGCATGATGTTATGAAAGGATTTAGGACATTATTGGAAATAATTAAAATTTGAAATAGAATAGATTTTATTAAAATAAAAATGTATATTTCTAGTTTTATTAAGATATTCAAAAACAAAAGGTGAATGTATATTTCTAATTTAAGTCGTTAAAAGAGGAAAATACAATAATGAAAAAAAATACTCATTGTAATAGATATGATTCATACGAATAACAAACATTTTCTTTGGTACACGTCAATTAACAATAGTACAAGTCAAGAACCTCATTAAAGTAGTTATTTAGCACGCGTACGAAAGTTGACTAGAGGTTGCAGGACAGATGTATGGCGAATTGCTATTACATCCAAGGTTATATATAGCATAGATGTATAAACCGAGTTTTATACATCTATGGTTATAGCCATATTCACAGAATTATAGATGTGCTTCAGACTCATGAATATTCAGTAATACAGTAAGCCACACAAGAATGTTGATAATAACTAACCAAAAAGCTGAGATACAATGATTGATATATAACTAAATAAATAAAATAGCAATTATAAATGAACAAATTTTAAATATCTTTTATTGTAAAGATCAGAAGTTCAAATTCTTTTTCGAAATATAATTTTATTTAATTTTAGGAATAAGTATCTTGATGCTTTTTAAATATAAATAAATACATCTTGCATATTATGAAGCAATAAATATTTTGGCAACTAATTCCATCGTTTGCAAATGAAGCTCGATTTCGGCTGGGGAAAGAGAATGTCGGGTATTCAGTGGTGACTATAAAAAGCAAATATAAGTCTACTTCTCGTCATCCTTGTTCCTACCAGCAAATTGAGTTGTCTTATTTATTTCATTAAAAATGAAAGTTAGATTTATTTATTTAATGTTTAGGTACATATTTTTGAATTATTTAATGTTTAGGTGCATATTTTTGAATTATTTAAAGAAGGAAATTAATTGCAAATTAATAAGAAAATATTTTGTATTATATAATTCAATAAATACAATTTATCAATTTAATTTTTATAATTGAATAACAAATATCTTTTTTATTCAAGTAATTAAATTATATTCAGATATAACATTATAGTAAATGTGTTTCATTAAGTTATTCACTTCATATATAATAAATATGATGAACGTAATTAAATTAAAAGCAGGTGCTTCGTGCATATTGCATTGATGTATATAAATATCCTGGTTATTAGTATACCGTTCACATGTTAATTTAGAACTTTATAACTTTATTAAACAAACTCAGAAGCAGTAACTGCGCTACAGGAGCATCACAGTTGAACGGCAAACGATTTAATGGCGTCTAAGTTCAAGACATTGGTCACGTGATAAAAGGTCAGAGTTTACCGTTTTCTTGTGAACGTGTACACCTCTTGGTTTTTTACCTCGTATCGTCTAATTGTAACTCGTACATAAATAAAACTTGTAGGGTCCAAATCTTGAGTGAATAAGCTTCATTATTATGTATACTTATTTATGAAAGGTGTTATAAAAGTATTCTAAAACAACGATGGAAGTTGAAATTTTTTTTGGAAAATTTGCGTAGGTCTACGGAAAATCCCAAATCATTTCTTAAATGGGTTTGGTAACGTATGGAGGGGTATAAAATATGAAGTAAAACCATTTTCTGGATCTTATATATTAATTATAGATCATAAATTCCCCGGATACGCAATTGTGTCAGCATATTCGTGGCGAAGCGGAGATCAACGGGAGATAACTCCGTACACGCGTCGTAGGAAACTGCAAGTTCACAACAGTAAATTCGAGTAAAATTAATGATTGTAGTTATATTTCGACCCTTTCTTGAATAACCATTCAATATTTAATGTTCCTCTACTCTTGTAACATTAAAATAGTCATGGAATGTTTGAATATGGCATTTTTTCAAGTACCCTAAAACAGGTTTTTGAAAACTTCCAAAGAAGAAATTATAGATAACTGACTTTTCTCTGAAACTTGGACTTATTTGTATATTCTCAAACACCCTTTTGGTAGATGGAATGATACAAGTCTTTGTTTTACTTTCTTTGTATCAATATTCTTAGAAAGGATATGAAAATAAACTCAGTGTTTGTACATGTTGGTTGTTTAGAACAGTATGTTTAAATATATTAAAATTTCACTCTAAAATTAGACTTGAATTTTTATATTCAAATAAGTATCTAACATAGAAAGTTGTTAATCTGGTGCACTGAAAATGTTCCATCGGAAATGAGATTTAACAAAGTTATTTAGACTGAAGAACTTGTCACTTTTTATGCTGATCATATGGGGAAAAAAGAGTGATATTATAAATTCTAACACAGCATCAATTGTGAAACAATAGTTCTTTCCTACAGACATTTTATTTTTCGAGATGCGAGGCTTGCCGATCAATTTACATATTTAAGATTTCACTGTTAAGAGTGGAAAAATAACTTATTGACAGAGATTCTGTATGGGAATGTTTCTCTTGATATTTTTAAATACATTTATGTTACCAACTACATTGTATATTTGTTTTTCTACTATGATCTGCAAAGAGAAGGGTTCTTTATGTGTGACCTCAATGATCGTCAAGCATGATTATTGGTAGCCTTTATTCCTGATGTAACAATGGAAAATTCTGAGAAAAGCAAGAACTTTTAAGCAGATCCAGGTCTTTTATAAAGAGAGGGTGGATTATTCCTAATTTCCATATACAGAAAAAACATATTTCATTTCATGCCAAATAATTACATACAAGAGGGGTTTATCAGCCATTTGTCAGCAGAACTTGTGTTACAATAGAATTTAACTTTGCATTACATTAAAATACAATATGGAAAAAAAGAAAATGTAGACAATACATGCCCCCCTCCTCTTTGAAAATTGGCTTGATCCACCCCCGAGATAAGAAACCATATAAGATGTACAAGTTCCGTTGCTCGCTCTTAATCAAGAGAAAAAATCTGAACATCCAAAAAGCCAGAAAGGGATTTAAAACATTATAATCAACACAAAGAAAACTGAACAAAAAGCTGTATTGCAATCTGATATCATGCAGTTCTCATAATTCCTATTACATGTATTACTTCAAGTTTTGATTTTTTTCCCTTATATTTGAATTCATAAGTCCTACAAACAACTGTTGAATCCTTTAATTAAATTATCGATTGAATAATGAATGATTAGCTAAGCTGGTCTGTAAATAAAGTCTGAAAATGCTTTGTTTAAATAAAAGAGTGTTATTATGTCATAAAATATACTGAATCAACTTCAAATTTAATCCAAATTCATATTTAACTGCTCTAAAATGTATAGTCAATTGAACTACAAAACAAAAACCTGAGACTACTATAACAATTAACATAGAGATTGGTCACTTCCCATGTTATAGTAGTCTCAGACAAAAACAAAGCTGACTTAAATACATGTGCAGTATGTTCAGAAATTTTTTGAAGAATGGACAACAATGAGATATTTATTTTTCTGATATCAGAAAAAATCTCATAGTATCAAATCAGAATGAGAGTTCTTTTTATTGAGATAATCAATTTAATCGCATTATTTACTTTAATAAAAACCTCATGATATATAATATCTGAATTTACAGTCATGACTTAGCTTGTCAACCTCTACACTTAAAAATTTAAGGTTCCTAGGCCTCAATGTGGTTGAAATACAGACAATTTTGGTAACTTTTACAAAAAATCTCTTTTTTATGACATACCTTACAATTTCAGAATAAGCTGCATTAAGTTATATATGTATCACATATAAGAATGCTAGTTTGTATTTTAATATCATGATTATTGCAATAAGTTGTTATTATTCAATTAATTAAAAAAACATCAATTATTTTTGAATTGATAGATCTGGAACTAGTACATACATTTGTTTTTTTAAACATCTATATACTATTCATTAGGGAACTTATTCAAATATATTTTGTACAAGACAGCCATGGCAGTTCACAATTACAGTGGTCATTATAAACATAATGACACAATTTATTCAACCAAATTTTATTGTTGATATATGTAAACTGAAATCATTGCAGAACTTTAAATACTTAACCTGTACTAAAATAAAGAGATGTGGTATGATTGCCAATGAGATAACAGTATAGAAACTATCCACCAGAGTCCAAATGTCTGTTAGCAGTTAAATTATAAGTCACTTTACAGACATCAACAATGAATACATTTCATTGTTATCAGGCAGATGAGGAAAAAGAGTAATGATAGCTTTTTAGCTTACTTCATGTACAAGAGAATATAAGAAATATAATAATATAAATAAGGAAATAATAGAGACAAAAAAGACAGGACTTAGCCACTGGACTATATGTAAAGTGTTCCCTTACTAATCCTTAAAGGAGCTGCTGTATACTTAGAAAAAAGGATGTTGAGGACTTGGCCACATCAATCAGCATTTTTAGACACTACATTATGGTCAATTGCAATCTGCCCTATTTGCTCCAACCTCTAATGAGTATTAAAATTAATACCTAAGGTGGGAATTAAACCCATGTATGTTCATTTACTCTATTGTTCTCTATGTACATACATGTACATGTATATGAAATATATATATATATATCAAATGCAAAAAAATGCTAGAATGTAAATATGGTAATTTACATCATGTACATTATTACAGCCTCTTTTTTTAAGGACCTAGTAAAGGAGGTCCCTGGACCTAGCTAGACCTATTTCTTAGGCAAGGTGTATTATATAACTCTTGAAAGTAGTTAAATGTAATTGTAAAATTAATTTTATCTGCTGTTAAACAATAATAATACGATAATGGTTATTTCTAAGTATTTAGTAACAACAGCGTGCAATTTAGGTAAACAAACATCAATAATCTACCACGTGTTTGTCTGCTGTGCTTGAATATTCAAAACGACCCATCGGGTTTATTTACACGAATTTTTGCTAAAGCAGACAGTTAAACATGTCTGTTTACCTAATAAGTTCTATAAAAAATGCATTTGCTGTTATGACTTGTGTATGCATGGAAATATAATGAACATAACATTGATTATTTACCGTAAATATTGAATACACATCATTCCTGAGCTATACACACAAAACACATGGCACTTTTGTAACAATGGATGGTAACGTATAGCCACTTTATAACAGTAAATCCCATTGGATAAGCTACCCTACACAGTACATGTACATAATATGCAAATTAATGATTGGATACGAATTTGTGTCAGCTCTCAAATCGATGGAAAAATGTAAACATTGGAATCCGCCATTTTGACATAGGAAACAAACTAATTTTGAATCTTGGATTAAAGGACATTGCGCACATTGCCAGCGTATCATGCATAACCAGTCATGTGCAAATATATCTTTTAATTAGTTTTATACACTTACTTTTCTATGTTTTATTTAATTTAATGTTTTAATTTACTACAGAACGGAACATCGTTCTCAAAGACGCCGTAGAAAAAAATATAGGGGGCGCTGTTTGTGGGCGTAAACACTTTACATACGGGTACTTTTTTTGTCGACAAATTGACCTCTATCTGTCAGATTCAGGCGTTTGCCGTTCAACTGATCAATTATACATAATACATTGTAATTACAGATTACAAAATGAGTAGAAATTATCTAATATATAGAACTATAAAACTTCAAGTTATTAAAACATATATAGATAAAGCAGGAACATATATATTGACGTTAGATACGTTAGATATACTGTTCCCAGGATAAAGTGACTATAAATAATCGTAGTACTGTGAATATATTATAACGTATATTTTCTAAACACTCTAAGACATAAGCCCGGATTTACTAATATATTTCTACAAATTTATCTCAGCATGTTATCATTAATCTGTAATAGATAAATTATTTGGTCACACTTTCTCAATGGTTCACTAATTATAACCAGATGTTGACCACCAAATTTATATGAAAGAATTTTGTTCCTCAACTTTAG